CATTTTGTTTAAAAATCAAGTTTTAGAAGACAGATAATGAGAGTCAAATCGCACACGTACCGCTGCCTTTAATCCTAACCCTTGCACGCGTTTTTACGTTTTAGAGTCACGACCACCCTTCCGATACTTGCGTACGTTACACAGGTCAACAAAAAAAAATATTTTTCTTTAGCTCAGCAGTTATTACATTTTTCCTATAGCGTTTTTCATTTTGATTTCAAGTATGCAACTTATTTTTCACCGTTACGTCTAGTGTGCAAATATTTGGGTTCAAATCTTTAGCATTTGGGGTGAAACCTTTAATATTGTATTATAAAAAACTATTTATTTTTGCTTTTATATTATAACACTTTTTTTTTTAATAAATTTTAAGTAAAAACTTAAATATTTTCTAAAAATGTTATGTTCTTTATGAAAATACTTGAGGTGATGGTGAAAAATGAATTGTATGTTTAAAACCAAAATGGGAAATTAGGAAAAGTTATTGTTTGCTCGGCAACAGAAAAAAAATTTTTGTTTTTGTTCTATGTTATTTATAGAAGACCTCCTGCATAATTCTAATGAAAATTTGTTGATTAACAATAACAGTAAAAAAGTAAATTTTTGTGGTTGTGAAAAGATATCTTTTTTAAAATACTCATTTGCGCAAGCATATTGAGTTTTTAGAAGTTTTCGCGTTTTTCGTTTAATTAAAAAAAGGTGAAGATCATCGAATTTAAAGAAAATGTAAAAAAATTAGATTTATTATTAATGGTTTTTAACTAAATTAATTTAGGACAGTGGAAAACTTACGCAGTATTTACGTTGACTGACTTTTGAAGGATATGCGGGCCGTAGTGTATAGATATTGACTGCTTATCTAGAGATACGTATAATTACAATGAGGAGAATTCGACTTGAGCAGACAATCTTTTTATTAAAAAAAAAGTGTTTGTTAATGTTTATTTTATCTATTGGCACGTTTTTGTTTATTAAAAAAATTAAATAGCTTTCAAAATATATGACGTAAGTTATAAAAATTTTTTGTTTGCGAGAGATTTCATATTAAAAATTGACCTAATTTTTTTTTTTTGAACGTGTGAATAGACTTTAATAAAGATATAGTCTAATCACACATACGTACGAACAGACTGACCCTTATTTTATTTGAAAAATGAAGTTTGTATTTATACCAAAAAACCTGTTTAAACCAATATTCACCAAGAATCCCAACCCTTGTTTTCATTTCTAAAAGCGACTATTAAATAGTTAATTTTTACTTTAAAAAAACTTTTTTGCGATGCATAATTTTGATAGAAATTCGAAAGTTTATAATTAGAGTAAAAATGAAAATTGGTTTATAAATTCTTTGAGATGTTTACGAATACGATAAATTTATATTATTTATTCTAAGATCTATGAGAAGTAACCGTTAAAATTAAAAATTTTCTCAGTTGAACACTTTTTTATCCTGAATAAAACTTTGTATCAATACCAGATAACCTTATTAACCAATGTTCATTTACATGGTAATCCTATTCCGTTTTTTTTTATTATAAATATGATAACATAAACAAAGTGTTAAGAATATTTCTTCATAAGTTACTTAAACAGATTGGTAGCATCAATTTCTTTTTTTTAACGTAAATTCTTATAATTGTACGAGAAGTTTTTGTGGCAACTTATTATATAAAATTTTTTGTTTAGATATGAAATAAAATATGGCCTTCAAATGTAATATTTTTAAATGCCTACGTGATGCAAAAAGTTGAAGAAAATAAGGAACGGCAAACAAAGTTTGATTTTGAAAACAAGTTTTATATAGTATTAGACCTTTATAAAACATTATAGCCTAGTCAAGATTTCCAAAATAACCGTAGATGCATAGCCAGCAGAAAAAGAATTATTAGCAGCAGGGATAAAATATGCACTAGTAAAAATACATTAAAAACCACATAAAGTTGAAGTATATCTAATAAATGCAATAGTAGCGGTAGTTGCATGGCCAGCTATCTAAAGGTGTAAGTTAATCTTTGAGCAACATTAAAGCTGATTGGTTAATATCTTTTCCTGCCTTTTGAACTGTTTCATTTATCGTATTTAAACTTCTAAGTAACACTTCTTCTTTTGACATTCCACTTAATGGTGTTTTAGGTGTATTACAATCGGAATTAAATTATTAATATTCTTTCTTCTTTAACAGCTTTAAAAACTTTGCAAGTAGTAGTTTTTTCGGAAGAAATTTTTGATTGATCAAGTGCAAATAACTCACTTAATTAACAATTAAATTCCTGGTAATCCTGCAATTTTTTTTTTTTATAGTTTAATTCTTTGTTATGATATTTTTATCTTTTACAGAGTTATTATTGATTTAGCGATGATTTATATTAAATAAGGTAACTATGTATTTTCTGTGATGCAAAATATTTGCTTTGTTACTCTCAGTTTTGCTAACATCTGTTAATTAGTTATTTTGATTTTAAAACTTTTTTTTAAATCAACATAAATTGTTTTTTTTAGGTTTAGAGAAGATCAATATATCTTTGAAAAACCCAAAAATTTTCATAAAAAATCCTCTAAAAACCCTAAAAATTAAAAAATAACTTTTTGCTGGCCGCCCTGTTATTAGTTATTTAGTTTAACTTATTATTTATAAGCATTATGAAACTCTTAAAAATACCATTTTGGTGTGGGCACCAAAAAAATAGTTCTAAGTAACTCATTGGCACCTAAGTAACATTTTTTGGCTCCCATGTTACGCGCATCGGCTCCCTTGAAACTCATATAGTTTTTAATTCACTCCCACTTTGTACACTTTCACTTTTAGTTGTTTCAAAATGTCGGAAAAATTTACAAAATGACTTTAATATTTTAAAATAGTATGCACGTTATATTTTTCAATTACCTTTTATAAAAAAGTAACATTATTTGGATGATTTGAATATTGATAATCATTTAAACAATTTAAACAACATGATTGTATAAAAAAATTGTATAAATTTTTGCGTAACTTTACACGCAAAGAATACTCTGCAAAGGTTTCGAATTTTTAGTTTTTTAATATCTAAAAAAATGAAAAATAAATGTTAAAAGCAGGTCAACCACCAAAATATCGCAAAATTCTTTTCCGGTTGACTTTCTCTTTTAAAATTTATTTTTAACTAAATTTTTCTTTTAATTTTCTGAAAAATGGTAAACAAGAAAAATAGATTTTAGGACACCGTCTAAATAAACCTTAAAAAATATATTAAATTTTATAACATAACTTTATCAGTACTTTATTTTCTAGTTTAATTTTATTTTAAGCAAAAATTATGCTTCATCTAAACCTGAAAAACTCGAAAATTAACAAAATATTTGAAATACCTCTTAATAACATTAAGATCTTTAATCGAGGTTACAAGTTAATTGATTGCAAAAAAAAGAGCAGATAATATAGATAAACCAAAACTGTATCAAACAAATATAGTATAAATAAATTTTGTATCAATTTCATTGAAAGGAAATAAAAAACAAAATTAAAAAACTTTTTGCAGTTTGTATATGTATAAACTTATGTCTTCTGTAGCAGCAGGGCGTTTGTTGATTCGTGACAGTATATTCGTGTAATAATACTGCCATAAAAATAGACGAGGGTGTTAAGTAGGTGGTATACGCTCAAGACCAATATTGTGAACGGATGGGCATAAAAATGCATAAAAAAGAAAAGTCCAATAAAAACACAAAACCCACTGTTTTTCATATCTTGATTTTTATTAAACAAAATGTCCCTCGTTTTAATTTTAATATAATTATTATACAAGTTGTCTTATATAAGAATATTTCTAAATGTGTCATAATATTTAAACACAACTTTATTATTTTTTTAAAATATAACTACTTTGTACCATCGTGTTGCTTAAGTTATCATTACTAGCAGTAAGCAACCCGTAATACGGGTTAAAAATAACTAAATCGTTAGTAACAACATAACTTACTACATTATCTAAAAAATATATCTAAAGACAAACTAATCTGTAAATAATTTTGCAGATAAATTTGTATTTAAATTTGGCTCCCTATTCGCAATGTCATTGCTTTTAGTTATAATTATATTATAAAACAGCAAAGAACGCGTAAAATATGTTTATACTCGGTCATTATCAATAGTGTTAAGAAGTACGCAAAAGCTCTCTACTTATTCAGATTTTATCTCGCTTTATTAATTCTTATTTTAATAAGACAGTGTTTCCAAGGCACCGTGTTAAAAAGAAGACACAATTTACATTAGAGAGTTACTGTTAAATATGACAAAAACGAATTTTTTTTTTGGATATATTATTTGTTTTAGAGTGAAGGCGTTTTTTTTTTTATCATTTAGTTGCAATTTTCCTTAACATCTTTAAATTTTTTGGAGAAGTTAAAAAAATTTATTATAATACTTATATAAATGTTAACTTCTATTGTCTAACGGGACACTTATTAATTTTTTGGTAACCCCCTCTCCTTTATTAAGGAAAAAAAGTTCTATTCAACTTAAAAGAGTTTAATGTGCGCATAATTAAATTATAGTTAATTACATGAAGGTCTCTCCGTCATAGAATAAAAATGCATTTTAAACAGATATTTTCAAATATTTCATGCTGCTTAAAATCCGACCCTTCCGTTTATTACAAAATCACAAATTTATTTAAAAATAAATATTTTTTTAACAAAACTTATTTATTTAATAACAAAACATAATTATTATTTGTGTTCTCCTGTATCGCATAAATACATCACATGATGTCTAAAAAAAAAAATAAAATAGATAAGTAAATATAATAGAAAAGAAAAACATTTTTAAAACAGGAAAACATTTAACCTGTTTTTGGCAAACTGCAGTTGCTGTATTGATGAAGCAGTATTTGATGGTGTTATTCAATGACATTATTTAATGGTGGCTTTTATTGAAGAGATAAAAAAGGTTTCAAAAAGGTTTAATTAATTAACATTTATTAAAAAGCCTCCTAAAAATGTTTAAAGAATAGAACTATGAAAAACTATGAAAATGCTCTAGTTCTTGAACATGCAACATAAAGTTGACCATGAGTCAAACACGGTTTCTTTAGATATACACCAACTCTATCAAATGTTTGACCTTGACTTTTATTAATTGTCATTGAATATGCCAATCTGACAAGAAACTGGCGACGTTTTAGAACAAAAGGTAAACTAGAATCTGACGGAGCCAAGTGAATTCGAGATACAAATACCCGTTTACCAGCAGAAACACCTGTCAAAACCTCGGCATCAATATAATTATTTTGAAGAGCACAAACTTTCATTCTAGTGCCATTATATATCCCAGCTTTAAGATCTAAATTTCTAAATAACATAATTATACAACAAATTTTAAACTTGAAAGTATGAGAAGGCATACCTGAGGGAATTAAGCTATTTAAAAACTCAACAGGAAAGTTATTTCTTTCATTAAGTTTGTCTGTCTCAACTTGATTAGCACTTAAATAAGTTTTGACCTCACCCGGTAGACGTTGAAGCACTTCTTCACTGATTGATAGTGAATCCACATTAGTTGGTGTCAAAATGACACGTTTAGCATAATTGTTTTGTTCAGCATCCCCAAATATCTTTTCAACAATGGAGTCATTTTCCCTAAAAAGGCATTAATGCGGTATTTCAATGCATCTTATAAAAGGATCCTCTTTGACAAATACTGTTCCACTACCAAGTCTTAACAGCCAAATTGAAATTTCCTTTTCACCATCCTGTACTTTCATATTTTCAGTTAACTTAAACTTCTGCACCCATTGCCAATGTAAAGAACATTTTATACATGCTTCTACAACTTCAGCTGGTTGTCCTCTTTTCACAACAGGCAGTATTTGTCTAAAGTCGCCTCCAAAAAGAATAACTTTTCCTCCAAATAGAAAGTTAATGTTGCAAACATCTTTTAATAACCTATCAATTGTATTCAATGCAAATTTGGGTATCATGGATGATTCATCAAGCAAAAACAAAATAACCTGACTTAAAAAGTGTCCATGTATAGAGTTTGGAGTTACATTACATGTGTTGTTATCTAATATTGGAACAGGAAGTTTAAATAAGCCATGCAATGTAGATCCATTTGTAATAAGAGTTGCTGCTATGCTAGTCCATGCAGCTTTAGCAGATTTAATACCTCTACTGCTGGTTTCAGCAATCAAATAATTATATGTAAACGTTTTTCCACTTCCAGCCGGTCCATCAATGAAAAACAATCGTGAATGCTGATTTTCTATACTTGGTTGTTCATTCAATGCAGCAAAAATAGTATTACATACATTTAATTGATTGACATTGAACAGTGGTCTCTTTCTATTGGCTTCATCAATTGATTGTTGAACATTTTAATTGAAATTTTCTAGATTATCTAGATTAAAATTTAACTCAACAACAGGCAGATTATAATCAGCCAGTGTTTTATCACACTGATTAATAATCTTTTCAACTTGACAAAGAGCAGCTTGTTCAGCTATTCTAAGCGGCACTGAGCGTTGAATAAAGTCCTCAATCATAAATGCTTTGTATGTATTCCAAAGATAGAAAGGATTGTCTGGTTCACAAAAAGTCATAATAGTTGCAAATAACTGTCTAAAACTGCCTCTGAAAGTGCATTCTGCCATTCAGTGTCATCTTGTAACAAACTACTTAAAACGCATGCTTCACAAAATGTTTCAACAATAATACCATCAACAGCACGCACATTCTCCCAAGACTTGGCTCTTTTTGTATGCAAAAGTAACAGCTTAAGAAAAAATCATTCTACAGTTGGATTAACTTTATACCTTCCTGTTTTCACCTTATTACTACCTCTTTGTCTAACCTTCTAACCTAAAATACCTTGTCTAACCTAACATGATAAGGAATGTCTACATATGAATAGCAATGTGCTCTTTCATTTTCAGAATTTAGCTTAAACCATGCCGTAAGGTGTGTATCACGTTGAGCTGCACGATCTAAAGCCATTTGTTATGCTCTTTCTCTAAAATACACTAATTGATTCTCAGGAAGATGAACTTTAGGGCGGAAAATAGTGTGTGATGTATGACTTATGGGATACTCAAAAATTCGCCACAATGCTTCAGGTGCAATAACAAAACGACAATCTAAAAAAGTGTTTACTTCATCATGATTAATATGTTCATTTATCAAAATATTGGCACCGTCGTGACCCTTGTATATGTATTTGTACATATACTTAACAGCCTTAACAGACATGCAAGCTTTAACATTAATGTGGACTTGATATTTCTTTGATAACCATGGATTGTAAGGTACCACCCAGCGGTTATCTACATTGTTTCCTTTAATATTGATAACCAAACCATTATCACGACGTCTATAGCGAGGATAAACATTATGAACTACTACTGTATTGGCATTAAATTCTTTAGGATAATTTTTGCTGCAGACCCCATCTTTCATGCAGGTAGAATTTGGATTCAATATGCCACATGGGCCATGATTCATGCAAGTTTTAATAACATCATAAAGTTCACGATTTATAATTGGATCTGGAATTTCTGCACATATTAAACTATTGATATCCTGTGCTGTCTCCAGCTTGTCATCAGTTGCAAAGTGAAGTAAAATATGAACATGTGAAAAGTAAAATATGAACATGTGAAAAGTAAAATATGAACAAGCGAAATAAAATATGAACCATGCTTAAAAATATCATTTAGGATATTATTTAATTTGAGTTTAAATGCTCGTGTAACTAAACCAGGTCTATCATTTGCTGTTTGACCTGGATATAAATTTCAGTTATCTCGCGCTATTTTGGGTTGCAGGTAAAAGTAATAAAAAGATATGGTTTACCATACTTTTTAATTATAACCATATCATCTTCAAAGTTTTCTTTTAAAGCTCTAGGACTTCCTGCATAAGTAGATAGCAAAACTACAATGCGCCCTGGTCTAACATTATGTTCGTTTGCAAGATTGTTTACATGTTCATGCAAGGCATCGTACTGCTTGCTTCTAAGTTTGTTTTGGTTATTTCTGATAAAAGAAAGGCACTAGCCTTCAATTTTACATATGCATCAACAACATATTGCTGAAATAGTTTCTTGCCATAAAAGATTGAAGGAAAAATTGTCTAGCCGATAGTCTATAATTGTAATACTGAGATAATGTAACATAATATCTAACCAATGTAGCACGTTCATGGTTGTGAACCAATTGATTACGCCAACCAGCATCACCCCTTGAGAAAAATAAAGGATAAAAATAGAGTAGTAGTAGTAGTAGGCTTTTAGTGAATATATATAATACAGAGTTGTAGGGTTTTAATGAATGATTAAAAGCATTGAGGTCTAATAATGAAATTACCTATACATTATTTTTAACAATAGGCAACAACTAGAAGGTAAGCTAAATGTATATCAACTCAAAAAATTACAAAAAAACAACATCACAACAACGATATCATTCACCATAAGTTCATATAATATGCATATAACGTAACTTAAGAAATATAACAATCATGTATAACAGAACATAAGTAACAACATTACGTAAAATGTTATGAAAATACATTATTATGTATTTTCAGAGTAATTATAAATAAAACTTGAAACTAAAGCAGTATTAGTTTGACATGAAACACTGCTGTGTAACACTCTGCAGTAAGTAAATGACTTGGCTGGCAAGATTGACAAATCTTGCTTTACACGTTTACCAAGTCACAGCTCTTTGAAAACATGGAAATAACATAATATAAACATATAAACCAGCTATAAACACTATATATATATATATATATATATATATATATATATATATATATATATATATATATATATATATATATATTTAACCTTATATATATATATTTAACCTTTTATAAACATATTTAAACACATTAATAAAAAAACATGTTACATTATTATCAAAACACATTGATAAAAAAGCTATAAAGCTCATTTTACAATATACACATAATTATCAAAAAAGCAATGCAAACAGTAAACATATAACTTGAATTGCGCAAACAAAAATTTTAAAAATGGCATGAGAAAATTTTAAAAGATTCAAAGTAAACAAAATATAAATATTTATATACAAAGAATGTTCTTTACCTTTTTTTTTTTCATAAGAACTGTAATTCTCATAACAATAATTTAATCTTTACATACAATAACATGTGACATGTCAGTAATACACGAAATTTCAATTTATTTTTTAAATTTTCTAAAATAGAGCAAAAACAGTTAATAGCATTACAGAAAATTCTTGGTAGTAATAACCAATTTAGCATTAGTATAATGCTTTTTTTTAGAATTAGCATTAGTATAATGCTTTTTACTTTATTTTTAATAAAAAACATTATATAAAAATTGCGAAACTATTTTCAATGCTTCTATTATCTTAACGATGATTATTATAATATGATCTTAATGATGATAATTTATCATAATATGATTCTTTATGTTATATTTCTAAACTTATCTTAATATTAATTCAATTCCAAAGGTAAAAAGTTGCAACTCGCTTGAAAGATCTTCCTCTAATAACCGCGTGCATTTTGAGAATGCGCTGTTTCAAGTTCAAAAAAGCCTTGTAACTAATTAAAACTGCCTTAAAAACGAAAGCGAAACGACGATAAACATTGAACATTGAATTTTTACGGTATTAATTTTTAGAGATAAAGTTATTAATATCTAAATCATCTAAATGTTACTTTTTTATAAATGGCAAGTGGAAAACATAATGTGCATACTACATGTTTTAATATTAGTCTTTTTTTCAACGTTTTGAAAACAAGTAAAAGTTAAAGCGAAAACAGGAGTTAAATGGAAACCGATGCAAGGGTAACACGGGAGCTAAAAAGATGTTACTGGGGAACCATTGAGTTAGGAGATGTTTTTTTTTTGTGCTCATACCAAAATGCTGTTTATAAAAGTTTCACAAGGATTATAAATTATAAGTTAGACTAAATAAATAATTACAGGGTGGCCAGCCAAAAGTTAATTCAAAAATTCCAGAAAATTTCCAGGAATTTTGACGAAAAATTTTGTGTTTTTTTCAACCAGAATAAAAAATTGTGTTGACTTTAAAAAAATATGAAAATGAAAATAACTAAATAATTAACAAATGTTAATAATACTAACAGTAACATAAAACAATTTTTTTTTTTGTATTACAGAAAATACATAATTATCAAATTGAGTATAAATCTACGCAAAATTAATAATATGATAAAAATAAAAAGATAAAAACATGGTAACAAAATACTAAGCTATTTTAGAAAAAAAGTTCCAGGATTTTAAAAGCATAGCAAAAAAAGATGTTTTACCGGGGCTTTTCTTGAGTCTATCAAGTTCCAGGACATTTTTAGATTTTCAAAGACCACTCGCCACGTTGAATAAATTTCCTACTAAAAAGTTAACTGACATACCTACTACTAAATACTAAATAGAAAATAAATTTCAATAAAATGTTATTTTATTGATATTTGTTTTTCGGTTATATATAGGGGCGATGAGGGCTAGTTGGTAGCAACTGGTTGAGAGATTGATATTCGCAACTGGTTGGTCACTGTATTATTTTAAGGATTTTTACACCTGCCATTTATGTGTTTTATAGACAAAAGCGTAACTAGATAAAGGTAAAAAACATAAGAAAATTGTAGATCGGATGAAAAAAAAAGTATTTTGAAGATTCCAGTCACGATTAATTTACTGTTTTTATTATTTACTTGTCAGTTATAATCGTTATTATTTTTTTTAATAGTTATCGCTTTTCAGGATTTATATGTATTTATTGAAAAATAAAGTCTTTGGGGTAAGCTGGAAAATTTTCACGGGTCTAGTCACTTATAATAGTCGTTATGATAAAAAGAGTTTTATAAAATTAAGTTCTTTATATTTAATTTGAGAAAGTTTAATTTTTACAAAAGATAAAAATGACAAAGTTTCAGATGATTTTTTAACCGATAAAAAAAAAAAAACAAAGGTTATTGTTTTTTTTTTAATTGGTTATTTATTATTTAAATTATTATTTGCTACCAGTCTAAAGAAATACTTTTTTTGGCTTAAAAATATTTCTATAATAACTAGGAAAAAAGTTTTTATAAATTTTGCCCTTAAAAATACTTAAGTAACTATTTTTATAATTTGCTCCGAATGAACATATAGTTATAGACCTTAAGAAAAACTACATGTTCCGTTGAATGATTGTAGTTATTAATAGGTTCTTGGATTTGATACAAAGGTTTATACAAAAAAATATATATGTTCAATTTTAACTGGCAAAATTGAAATTAATTAAATTAAAATTTAAATAAATTAGATTAGTCGTTTAAGTAATTTTTTAAAAGATATTATAAATCAATTTTTAATTGGGATAAACGCGGCAAGATGACTTTTCATATAACAACTCAACAAAAAAGTTTAATAATAAGTGGAAATAAAACTGCACTTAAGTCCTATATTTTGAAATACCAGTTGGTTTTTTAACGTAAATATTGTTAACGTAATTTTATATGCATAAGTTTATTTTTTAAGCCTAATAAAATATACCTCGGTTTGGATTATCGTTAAGGGATGGTTTTCGAGTGTTACACTTTTAGGGATATTTTTTACAACACGTATTTATTTTCGGTTTCTTTAGTTTGAATAGTTAGCAGTTTTTCAAATTTTATAAAATTGTACATTTCATAATGCGTTATAACCCAGTCACGTGACGATGACAAATTTATGAGTTTTATATTTTCCTTTTTTTACATTTTACAAAAACCCAGGGCTTTTAAAACGTTCGCCATCTTGCCCCGTATTTTCTTACATAAAAGCGCTTAAATAAAATCTTTATTTCCTTAAATAAAGTTTTTTATTTAATTGTATATATAACTATGGTTTAACTCTTATAATTAAAAGGAGTTTTTCTTTTTCAAGTTAAACGTTATTTATTCTAATCTTTTTTTTGAACCCTGTAGAAAGCTAGTTTTTATTTTTAATACAAAAAATTTGTTATGCATTATTTTCATGAAAAATTTTTGATTTTTAATTAGGGTAAAAACAAATTTTGGCTTATATCGAAAGTTATCCTTTCTAAATACTTGAACGCGCATGCATATTGAGTTGCTACTGGTTTCTGATCAATTATGGATTTTATTTGTATATATATATGTATAATATATATATATATATATATATATATATATATATATATATATATATATATATATATATATATATATATATATATATATATATATAAATATATATATATATATATATATATATATATATAAATATATATATATATATATATATATATATATATATATATATATATATATATATATATATATATATATATATATATATATATATATATTATGAATATCATTATAAGTATTATAAATATTACTACCTTCAAAATAAAAACTTTTTTTTTTAAAACGAAAATTTATATTTAAACTAAAACACTTTTATACCACGGTCGCGTAGCAACCCTAACCCTAGCTCTTTTTTTTATAATCACGGTCACGTCGCAACCCTAACCCTATTTCTTTTTTTTAATAACCGCGACTATAGTTAATTTTTATTGATTATAAAACTTATTAACTATGTATAGTTTTGATATTTATTTTTTTATTTATTTGAGTTTTCATGTTAT